GGTTAAGACCCAATTCAACACATCTATCATAATCTCCCGGAGTGATAGTGGGAGAGAGTAGCTCAGTTCTCAATTCATGCAATACTTAAATGAACAGGGAATTATACACCAAACTAGTTGTGCTTACACACCACAATAGAATGGCATTGCAAAACGCAAAAATCGACAACTACTTGAGATTATTAGAGCCCTTATGATCACTCATAATGTCCCACACATCTTTTGGGGAGAAGCTATTCTCACAGCCACTTACCTTGCAAATAGACTGTCTTCTAAGACCCTAAAATTCCAGTCTCCAATTCACATCCTATCTTAAACCTATCCAAACACCCAACTACTATCTGCTATTCCTCAAAAAGTTTTTGGTTGCGTGGCCTATGTTCACAACTATCATGGAGGTAAACTTGATCCTCAGTCCTTTAAATGCACTTTCCTTGGTTACTTCTCAACCCAAAAAGGCTATAAATGTTACTCACCCACACTTAAGAAATTGTTTGTCTCTATAGATGTAACCTTCACTGAAGATACCCTTTGCTACCCTAAAAGTCCAATTCAGGGAGAGTCCTTAGGGGAACTGGACCTTTTAGGAACCCAAACTCACAAACCTCTATCTCAAACTCACATACCAGCCTTACCCAAACCAGAACCTGTGACACACAATCAACCGGAACCTAAAACGCACCCTGGGATGCAATCTAAACCTGAAATCAGACCTGAAGTCAGTACAATTGATGCTGAAACAGATAATATAATGACAAAAGATGTTAATAATGGTGACATAAGGGAACCATAAGCATATTCATAAAATGCAAAAATACACCATTTAGAGGTTTGTCTCTTACAGCAACTTGTCATCTACTTATAAAGCTTTTGTGGCTAGTGTAGATAGTGAAAAACTGCAAGCCACCTACTAAAAAGCCATTGTGCAACCTAGACGGGAGAAAGGTATAAATGATGAACTTCAAGCAATAGAGAAAAACAGAACCTAGAACCCGACCAAGTTACTTGATAGAAAGTCTATGGTTAGTCAAAATAGGTGTTTACTATAAAATACAATTAAGATGGGAGCATAAACAAATATAAAACTAGTCTGGTACCTTGATGATTCACTCAAACCCAAGGTATAGATTATAAAGAGACATTCTCACTGATTGCAAAACTAAATACCATCAAGGTACTACTCTCTTTTGCACCAAATCTAGACTGACCACTATATCAATTAGATGTTAAAAATGCCTTCCTCAATGGTGACCTAAAGGAAGAAGTATATATGGATGTTCTAGAAGGAGTGAGGAAGCCAGATGTGCCTAATATCACATGTCGACTTTACAAGTCATTATATGGCTTAAAGCAATCTCTAAGGGCCCATTTGAAAGGTTCACAGATTATGTGGTGAAATATGTTTTACAAAATGTTAAACTGATCATACATTATTTATTAAACATACTGATAGGAAAATGACAGTCTTGATTATGTATGTGGATGATAAAATCGTGATAGGTGATGATTATGAAGGTATATCAAACATAAAGAAATCTCTAGGACAAGAATTTGAGGTAAAGGATTTGGGGAGCCTAAAATACTTTCTTGGAATGGAAGTAGCTAGATCCAAGAAAGATATTGCTATCTCACAATGCAAATATACCTTAGATCTTCTAAAGGAGACAGGTATGCTACGTGCAAGCCCATTTGGAACACCTATGGATATAGTAACAACCTTAGAATTCAAGAAGGATGGTGTCTCTGTGAACAAAGAAAATAGGGAAAGCATAAAGATAAAAACTAAGCAACTAAAGATTAACAACATCAACAAAATTATTATCTTCATCTTCAACACCGTCATCAAGATCAACTATATTTCATTGTTCTTCACTAGAGGTGGGCTCTTCTTTGGGTCCGTATTTGGTGCTCATCAGGTGATTTGGTGCTCATCAGGTGATGAGCACCCAGTGCCCATCACCTGATGAGCACCCAGTGCCCATCACCTGATGAGCAATCTAGAAGGTCCAGATTTGATATTTTTAAATAATTATTTTAAAATAGAAAAAATTATATTTTTAAATAATGATAGTTAATAAATTATCTTTATTTTTATCCTATACCTATTAAAATAATTATTTTAAAAAAAATAAAAATAAAAATAAATTTAGACCGTCCAGATCCAATGAGCATTGGGTGCTCATCAAAACTGATGAGAACCTAATGCAAATCCCTCTTCTCCAGTGATAAAAATATTAAAGTTTTTGTTTTTATCATTTTTATCTAAAGTAAAACTATGTAGTATTTACTAGTATAAATGAGAGCATAAACATTTATTAGAATTAGAGAATTTATATACTTTGTTAAGACATATGAACCAATAGTAAAAGAAGATTCACTAACTACTGTACTGATTGAAATACTAAGATTATCAACTACCATATTTGAAAAAATTGAGAATTGATTTTAATTGCCCTTCTACCAGTTCAAGACATCTAAGTAATTTTTTAATTTAAACTTATCTATAAAAGACTAATCCATACTTGTATAAATATCTTGATAATTAAAAAAATAGACGGGTTTAAAAGGGCTAGCTCTTGGCCCTAATAGGCTAGCTTTTTTATTCCCAAGCCCTTTCCTTTTAAACCTAATTTTCTTTTTAACATCCTAAAATATAAGTTCGACCCTTCACTTAAAAGGGCTTAAACGGGTTGGTTCGATGGGCTTAACCTGTTTTAACCGCTCTATTGATGACTAGAAGGATAAGGGGTTTGAAACCAATTTGCAACTGTCAGGGCCGTCCTTTTTTTTTGGGTTCATTTTAGTGCTTATTTGAAATAATTTATATAAGTTGAGATAAAAATCTTTGTTTCTTAGTTTTTATATAGTAAATCATGATTAAAAAAATTTGTTGGCAAAAAAAATCAGGATTGAAAAATTATTTTTAAAAACTATAATTACTATTTCAAATAAGTCCTTGGGATTCGGTAGGATGGCTTCTCTTTTTAATCAATGACATCTGCTCGTAAAAATAGATGAGATTTAAGAGAGAGAGAGAGAGCTGAGCTTAATCCTTTATTGCAAAATGAAGACGACTTGCTTCTCAAACACTTATCAACAAGGGGCTGTTTAGTACTATCTCTGGTCTTAATTATAAGAGTTAATTGACTAATTTGAGAAGATTAAGAAAAGAAATTGAGTTAATTATTTGTAATAAATGTTACTGGATCTGATCTTTGATATAAGAGATTGATAACTAATTTGAAAAAATTAAAAAAATTAATTAAATTGGTTATTAGTAGTAACTGTGTGTTGACTATTTATACCACTCTCTTTAATATGTGTATCTAAATTACTTTTTGGTAGAAACACCTTAAAATCAATAAAGATATTTTGATGAAAGGAATATAAATCCGCGAGACAATGGGGATCAAATCCAATTTCTAATCAACTTTTATATTAAGGATATCCAAGGTAATATACATACGAGTGATAGCTGGAATTTATCGTAAAGAGAAAAACTTGGTTATTCATAAATAACAACTTAGTTATATATAAATAAGAAATTGGATTTATAATGACAATATTGGTTTCTTTAGATAAGAATTTAGCTGAGCGTAAATAACTACTTTATGGACACTAAAAAAATTAGTTGGAAGAACCTAGTTGCCCTGGCTCATTTGGCAGCAAAAGAAATGACTTAATACGTGCCAAAGCTGACAAGGGAGTAAGCATGATCTTGATTAGAGCCAACGACGCCATAATGGAATGCTGAAAGGCAACCAATAAGAAATTAAGAAGGGACATCGATCAATGTTCCATAGAATCATCAGCCCGAAGATCCAAGAGGAACTAAGGAGGATCTGGAAAGGCATGTTATCTGCATTGATGGAGCTTATTCACGGGGAAATGGAACGTACAGCTGCTAGCGATGGGGTTCTGACCAACAATGCCATTATATTCTAGAAGGATTCCCTCTCAGGTCACATGAAGAAGACCATCTCACTGCAGAGCGCTGAGGTTGCGCCATGGGATTAAAGAGAGCATGGAATATTGGAATGTCATCGCTGAAGCAAAGAGCATACTTGCCCGTGGAATGAAATCCGAGCCATTCAAGATAAACCAGTTTGCGGAATCCCTTGCAATACAAAGCTTGGCGAATATATGGGCCCAGTGCTCTCCGATCTGAGAGCTCTCAAACTCTAGTGGCCCTCGATCTCTAGTTAGTTCGCTTGTGTGCTTCTGATGTGTCAACAACAAAAAAAAGAAGAAGTAAATAACAACTTAATTTTATATAAATGATAATTTGGGTTCATGAAAACAACAGCTTACTTCTATATAATTAATAACTTAATTTACATAAATGACAATTTGAGTTGAGACAATAAAATAACAACGTCGGTTTTAATGAATAATAATTTAATTATACGTAAATAAGAAGTTAATTTTATAAATAACAACGTTAATTTTAGAAACAACAATTTATCTTTATTTAAATAGTAACCTGACTTCAGCTATTAATAACAACCTCAATTTCTATAAATAACAATTGAATTATTTATACGAACCAAACTCGATATTTAATTATCAAAAGTTAAGTTGTGGGTTAATATAAATGTAAGCTGTTACTTTTATTATTAACTCCAGCTATTACGTACCTATACATGACGTTGTGCATAATATACAGATGTGTCAGGGGCCTCTTGATAGGTTGATAAGTTGGATAGAAAACAAGCGGCTGTTGCTAATTTTAATATTTGAGCGCACCTTTGTGTTTGGAAGCGTACAATCATGATAAGCTCGAATGAAGGAGCAAGCTGCTGTTTTATTCATTCTCAATGTTGCGACTTAATTGGCATATTTTGTGAACGCGAATATCAATATTAATTAATGTGTGCGTGTAGGGCAATGTAGGGGGAATGAAGGTTATGGTTTTATTGACTGCCCCGAGGCTGCGGCGACACACGACATGATTATTAAAATTAAAAGAAAATGGAAACAAAGAAATATAATGGGGATGATCAGTTGTTGTTGGATCTCTTGAGAGAGTCGGCGTTTTGTTTGAGGGAGTGGGCGGAGTCCTGAGCCTTTCCAAGTACAGTGTCAGCAGCCCTGTGAGCAGAGTTCTTGGTGGAATCCCATGCATCCTGCATTGCCTGCTTCGCTTTCTCCCCCATATTCTCTGCCTTGGCCGACATCTCACTCCCCACCTCTCGTGCCTTCTGCTTCATCTGCAGTATTCACATTCATTCATTTTATTAGCTAGGCCTATGTATGAATGAACATTATCACCATCCATCCATTATATATGAATGATTTACAGGCACGTACATTTTGGGGGGCAGTGGAATAAGCCTTGCTGTCGTGGTTTTCATCGGCCGTCGCACCTGTTGTTCCGGTCGCATCACTGCTCAACGTCTCATTTGAGTTGGGCACCTTCAACAATTAATATACAACATCCATGCATCAGTTAATCAATGATCATGTTTGTATGTACGTATGCATGTTTATCTTGAGATGAGTAGTGCGTACTTGATTAATAGGCCTAGGAGTAGCGGCTCCAAAAAGTCTAGGGTTCCAGGTTCGAGTTCTAGCGATGGCTGCTCCCGCATGCCCAAACTTTGGCAGCGACATCACTAAGCTGCTCAGCCTTCCCATTCTCTTTCTTTTCCTCTGCTTACCACTTCAATTGCCTGAGATGGATCAATGCGTTTGATTTCTGCCCTGCCCCTGCGTTCCGTGTACCTATATATAACATTCCACTCAGAGTAATTCGGTCGCTCATGTGGTGGGGTGTTGCTCCGCCTCCCACGGGATCCACTGTTATAGGATCCAAAAATATGTATATATTTTTCATTTTCTTTCGTCATTCTTACAAAACCTTTTAATTACCGCACAAGACGTTCATTGAAAAAAAAAAAAAAAAAGTCTGCTGAATCAATAATACTGCCTCCACTATTTAATATGAGAGCTAGTTGCAGATTTAATTCAATCCTAAATATAATATCTAATCTATCATGTCTCTAATATTTATTCATTTTGTTCCCAAGTGACTTTCACAGTGATTACACATGTTAAGGTGTCTCATCAAGAAGAAGTTCCAATATATATGATTATTACATCTATTTATTACAAAAAATTAACTTAACTACTTTTATTCATATTCATAGATTAATTATCTATTTTTTATATTACGTATTCGAGGTAGTATTTCTCAACTGTTTATATAACAATTGATACTTTCAAAGTCTCATCTCCATGTAGTACTTATATATCTTGCTCTCTTGCATTTAAAACTGACGGGAGATCGACCTCTCATTTTTCCTTCCTATCATTTTTCTTTTTCCTTCATTTCCAACCATTAAATTGATAGAGCCTATAATTTGAAAGAACGAGGTAAATTCTTGTTTTCCCCAATTTTATCATTGCTGGAAAAATAAATCAATATATTATATAGGATTTTAATTTAAAAGTGCAGTCTTAAAAATTATTATAATTTGTTGATAAATTTAACGAGTTAACTTCTATTTAATGTTCCTCCTTACTCTATATTATTTCCAATCTTTAATATAAGGGCTAATTAACTAATTTAAATAAATTAAAATATTAATTAAGTTAATTATATGTAATAAGTATATGTTGTTTTTCCTAAAATATCTTTACTAATTAATTATCATTTGATGAAACATTTAATATATATATAACTACTACAAAAATTATCTTTAAAAAAATAACGTCCTGCTTCCTTTTTTTAAATAAAAAAGTAATTTTTTATATGAATTTTTTTTATAATGTTTATTTTTTATTAGGCTTCTAAAGATAAAAATATTATTAAAAAAATATTATGTAAAAAGTTTAATTATATAGTATAAAAAAAGTGTAAAACCAATACTGTAAACAAAAACTGTAAAAGAAACACTATATAATGGCTTTGTGAATTATTTTACTAGGGAAGGACATTTTGTTAAGATAATACTACAATTTTAAGAGCTAAAAATCACTATAAAAATTATTATTATTATTAATAAGTAAATTAAATAATTTAATTGTAATTATTAATAAATAATTTTTTTTAAAAAAACCCAAGATGGGACAGGACGACCCCATCTAGCGTCCTACCTGATCCCGGTTACTATCTCATCCCATCCCGAACTCATCGGGACTGAGATGGGACAAATTGAAACACCATACTCGCACCTGCGCCTCTCCCACACTCCGGCATCTCCATCACCACCAAGCTTGACTCTCTTTTTTTTTTTTTCCCCGGTAAGAAGATTGATTGATTCCCTTTTCATAGAACGGTGAATTTGTTTATTTCATATCTAACCACTTCGCGCCCGCTTAATCTCTTACTCTCATTTTTCTATTCCATTTTCATGAAAATAGACCACAAACCAAACAAGCTCTGACAAACAAACCTTCCAAAGCCATGGTGTTTAAAAACTAAAATCTCAGACTCCAATTAACAAATATAGGAAAAAAATACATTAAATGCCCGACAAACAAATAAATACGATCAATCTTGTTCTACTTCAATCAAACAGTATTTTTATCAGCTCAAAAGTCTCAGCGGGCTGCAAACCAGAAACAAAGCATATATAAATCGGTTTTACATAGAGACACACACACGCACACAAATATCACAAGCCTCAGCCGGTTGAGGAACCAACTGACCTCCAAAGCTTGACCCAGTCTTCCATGGCTTGGGCGGAACGCAAAAACAGAGGATCTACCTGACCCAGTTTCTCCTTCACTATCTTCGCCATCTCCGCCACACAAGCCTCTGGTGTACTAGCCGACTGTGGCAACCTCAATGACTGAAAGAAAGGAACGATGTCCTCCATCAGTTTCACCCCTTGCCACTCTTTCTTGAGGCTCTCTATGGCACTCCCTCTTTGCGTTCTATAAACATAGGGCAGCCCTGTTTTCACACCCAGACCTAAATGATCACATATCACTTTTACACACATTCCAGACCATATATCTTCAATTGTTTCCCACCTCAACTTTCCTTCCTCGGTCAACTTCAAGGCAGGTACTAATGCAGGGCCAACTACTTCACGGTTAAAAGCAATGTTGATTCCGCTAACAGGCATCATAGTTCTCACAGGAACAGTCATAACTGCATCGACATATCGCAAGTTCCTCACTCCTGGCTTGAGTGCTTGTGTTGGTGCATCAAAGTCTGCCTGATTGAGCCACACGCCACATGACAGGACACAATCAACCCCACTCCGCAAGCTAAATGGATAACCACGAACAAAATCTGCACCCTTACGGAAAGGATCATAGAGTGTATTAAAGAAGAAAGGGGTCGCAGGGGTCTTGAGGTTAAATAGATGCTCGGTCACAGCATCTACCACATTTCCCATATTGTCCCTTGCTGGAATGCAATCATCATCAACACATACAATATACTTCCTTCGTGAAACTAGATAACCAAAATACCTGCAAGAGTAGCCAGAGAACAGGCCAGCAGTGGAGGAACCCACAACTCGCTCAATATCAGACTTTGAATAGACATCCAACTCAAAGCCTTCAGGAATTTGAAGGTCCTCCTTGAGATCAGGATCTTTGACAATTATCAAGTGGAAGCGAGAGAAAAATGGCCTCCATTCATTCATAAAAAATCTCAGGTCAGAGTGCAGTGCACCAATCACTATGTCCACTTCACTCTCGTTGATATTTGCTTGAGACATATTTAGGTCATACAAATTTGCTGCATAAACCAAATTTGTTTTGCCTTCTCAAAGCCGACAAGTTGAGTTAAACTAGCTATCTGGTGCTGAAACTACACAAACCTACCTCAAAATTTTTCAGAACATCCTGTTAAACGAGATTCTTCAAAGGTCAGGAAAACACTTTTTCCATTGGGAGAAAATATTCACAATTTTTGAGAAATTTTGAAACAACTCACTGGTAGGCAGCACAGGGGTCACAATATGCTGGACGTTAAGTGCCTGAATAAATGCGATGACTTCCTCCTTACCAGTTGCCACGAAAAGTCTCAGAACTTTCTCAGTCAGCTTTCCAGCCTTCAATATTCTCTGCCCACGAAAATAATGTAAAGGAATGAGGATGCCAGCAACAACAGAATAAAACTTAAGGTTAGAGTGAACAGATACATTTGAAGGAAGTAAAACACATGAAACACGCCAACTGAGCCGGTGAGTTAAGCTAAAAGTAGTGAATTGGGTTGAAACCCTCCAGATGCAACTAGGAAAAAAAGATAAGAGGAAACAGATGGTAGTTCTAGTAGATGGTGCATAATATGAACCATCACCGACTTAAATAGTAGAGTCCTTAATGCCTATTATCAAGTTAACCTCGTTGCTATAGGAACAAGAAAAGAAAATTGAAAATTTGATAGCCTAATAAAACAGATGGCAAGCAAAAACCGATACATGGAATCTCCATCTCTCCAACATAATTACTAAATTCCCATATCTTGACAATTTCAAATATGAAGACAGATCAATAATTGGAGTCAAAGAGCCATCAACTTAGCAACGCCATAACAAGTACTAAAGATCAATGGTGGGAAAAAACTTGAAATTGAAATTAGTTCCATCAGTCTACACAAGTCATCCATAGGGTGAATTGTCGAAATTATTGACGAAGCTAGATCCTCAAAAAATGTTGGGATAAGCAAGAAAACACCTACCTCTATAATTCTGGTAACCTACGAAGAAATCAGCAAAAGAGTGAGGTTAAAAACTTTCTTCTTTTCTTTTTCTTTTTAATCTGAGAATAAACAACCTGGCCAAACATGAGTCTAGAATTAAGCTGTAAAAGACGTAATCATGGTTACAGCCATATTATCATGGCAATGGTTTGTTTGTTATATAAGATACTCAACTTCCTCCTGGTTGGCTGGTTGAAGATCAAGACCCAAGAAGCAGCTTAAGAAAACAACACCAACAACCTCAATTGTTGTCATGCAAATTCGCTATAAGATATGCTCAGCATGTTGTCAATAAATTGCACAATCATCACGAGTTTCATCCCGCAAACGAAAATATTTGAATATTTTAAAAACAAGTTATACCTTTTCAACGAGATTTTATGAAATATATGGGAGATTTTTTTATGGCTGGAGTCCTTTGAGATCAGGAAAATGATGACAGAAGCTACTGATATTCACGAGAAGTAAGACAGAATGCAAATATATTCGGCAACATGAAGCATGTAGTTATGATTCGATTCCCCCGATAAACTATCAACTGAATAAAAAGCTTGGCAAAACACCATGTCACAAAATAAAAGAAATCTTAAAATCGAACCATCCTTCAATTCGCACCACCTTCTAATTATCATAAAAGGATTTTACCCCACTATCAGATGGAAAATCATAACAAGGTTTTGATGATGCAAGAACAGAAAAGATCCATTAACCTTTAAGTCATTCAAACCAATAATATCTAAGTTAGAGCAAGGAAGATAGGTTAGCGATCCATCGATTGGACTCACATCCAAAATGATGGAAAGAAAACAAAAATAGAACAATACCGGTTAATCTAGCCAGAAAACACGTATGCCTTAAAATTCGTTGATTGGACGCTTTACAATCAATGGCAGGCTAGTGGGAAAAAAATCGGTCGAAAATTATATGGCAGAAGAGAACGATGCCAAAGTGACTACCGCCAAGAAAAAATTGACAGACAGAGATAAAGAAAATAGCAACAGAAGAGAAAGGAAGATACCAGGAAGAGGTCGAGGAGGATGTGGTCAGGGATAGGGGTAAGATCGGGTATGTCGGATAGATTAAGGAGTGCTGAGTCAAGGGTGAGAGAAAGGAGGGAAGGGGGGGTTTTCATTCAATCGAAAATCATTATCATAAATATACGACACTATCACCGCAGGAATTAAGACGCCTGAATTCCGAACTCGACTCGCAGATCGCTGCCTCCACGCCCTTTTTGCTTCGTCCTCACAATTGCTTCTGTACACGTATTCTCCCACTCCGGCCAGGGCCTGCCCCTGAGTACTTGGGCCTCCAAGGGCAAATGACCTTTTTTTTTTGTTGCCATAAATGGCAAATGACATTTGAGGGCGTTGTTCGTCTTTGCCAACTTTGAGGAGAAATCACAAAAAACTCTTAAAAGTTGTCCGTGAAATTATCACGGGTCTCTATCTTTATTTTTAAAATTTTAAAGTCTTTAATTGTGATTTTTTCTAACTTTACGTCCTTGTCTACATATTTTCCATATTAAATAAAATTTATTATTAAAGACATTAAAACGAGGTGAAAAGATCAGACATGAATAATTGACAAAATTAAAAATTTTGGTTTCTTTCTAAATCTCCAAGGAATTTAGTGCTCTCATGGGGTCTGTGAATGTCAATTGCCCATCGTTTAACCTTCTCCTCTATCTATTTTGTTCTGGCAAAAAAAAAAAAAATACAAATAAAGACCTCCCAATATATAAAATGGCAATCAGAGATCCTGAATTTGAGAAATTGCTCACAAGGACCCGGTCCCAATTTGCAATTATGAAATCATGACCAAATTACCAAAATATCCCTTTTTAATTTTTTTTTCAAAAAAGAACACCACTGCCTCGCCAGAATCCGGCTGCCGGCGCCGAAGCTCCGCCACCTCGGCTGCCAGCCGCCGGAGCTCTAATGCCGGCGGTCGGATTCCGGCCATTGCTGGCGACCTTCCTTTGTTTTTTTTTAAATTGGGGGGAAGTGAGGTTGGGGGGATTTGATACCCCAACCTAATGCTTCTCAAAATTAGGAATAACCATTGAGCCAACAAATTTTTGCTAACATTATAATACAAAAAAAATATAAGTTAACTCATTTACTCTTATTCCAGGTAATAACAATAATACATTTGAAAATAACAAGTTCTGATTATAAAATAACAAGTCTGGGATTAAAATTTAACAACACGTTTTTTTATAACAACACACTCTGTTGCAGGTGATAACAACAATACATTTGAAAATAACAAGTTCTGATTATAAAATAACAAGTTTGGGATTAAAATTTAACAACACGTTTTTTTTATAACAACACACTCTGTTTCAGGTGATAACAATAATACATTTGAAAATAACAAGTTCTGATTATAAAATAACAAGTCTAGGATTAAAATTTAACAACATGTTTTTTTTATAACAACACACTCTGTTTCAGGTGATAACAACAATACATTTGGAAATAACAAGTTCTGATTATAAAATAACTAGTTTGGAATTACAATTTAACAGCACCTTTTTTTTTATATAACAACACATTTTATTCCAAGTGATAACAACAATATATTTGAAAATAACAAGTTCTGATTATAAAATAAGAAATCTGAAATTAAAATTTAACAACACGTTTTTTTATAACAATTAATTATTTTATACTTTTGAAAAATAAATTATTTATAACTTATAAAAAGTATTTTAAATCTATTTAATTTGCTAAAAAAATAATTTTTATCTCCAATTTATAATCAGAACTTGAAGTGTAATTTATTATAGATTAAAAATACTTTTTTATTGTTCAAATTTATAAATAAAATTTAGGAAAAATGACAACACACTTTTTTATTTTTTTAAAAAAAATTTTTAATCTATATATCTATACAACTCATTATAAATCAAACCACTTCTTATAAATTATAAATAGTACAATTTATTGTAGATTAAAAATACTTTTTGATTGCTTAAATTTATAAATGAAATTTATCTCTAATTTATAATTAAAAATACTATTTTATTCTTTAAATATAAAAACTATTTTTAATATTTAAAGAATGAAATAATAAATTATACTATAATATTTAAATACTTAATAATAAATTTTAATATTTAAAGAATGAAATAATATAAAAATTTATACTGTGATTTATAGATTAAAAATACTTAATTATAAATGCTTTATAATTTATAAGAAGTAATTTGATTTATAATGAGTTGTATAGATATATAGATTAAAAAGTATTTTTTAGAAAAAATAAATATATTAAAAATATTTTTATAAGTTATAAATAATTTATTTTCCAAAATCATAATATAAATAATTTTCTAAAAAAACGTGTTGTTAAATTTTAATCCCAGACTTGTTATTTTATAATCAGAACTTGTTATTTTCAAATGTATTGTTGTTATCACCTGCAACAGAGTGTGTTGTTAAATTTTAATCTCAGACTTATTATTTTATAATCAGAACTTGTTATTTTCAAATGTATTATTGTTATTACCTGGAATAAGAGTAAATGAGTTAACTTATATTTTTTTTTGTATTATAATGTTAGCAAAAATTTGTTGGCTCAATGGTCATTCTTAATTTTGGGAAGCATTAGGTTGGGGGATCAAATCCCCCCAACCTCACTTCCCCTCAATTTAAAAAAAAAAAAAACAGTTTCAAAAAAAAAAACAAAGGAAGGCTGCCGGCAATGGCCGGAATCCGGCCGTCGGCATCGGAGCTCCGGCGACTAGCAGCCGAGGTGGCGGAGTTCCGGCGCCGGCGGCTGGATTTCAGCGAGGCAGTGGTGTTCTTTTTTGAAAAAAAAAAAAAATGAAAGAGGGGTATTTTAGTAATTTGGCTATGATTTCATAATTACAAATTGGGATCGGGTTCTTGTGAGCAATTTCTCAAATTCAGGGTCCCTGATTGCCATTTTATATATTGGGGGTCTTTATTTACAATTTTCCCAAAAAAAAATCAATTTCTATTAAAGCATTTACTTTGTTTATTAGAGCATTTTGCATATTGCTTATATTTTATAGTAATGGTTCCTATAATAAAAATATTCATTATAGTGCATCTGATCTTTAATATAAAACTAATTGACTAATTTAAATAGACTAAATAAATTTATTAAATTATTTTATTTATAATAAATATGTATTATTTTTCTTAAAATATTTTTACTAATAATATGTATTAACTACAGCTACTATTTAATGAAACATTTACTACATGCCGTTGTTATAAAGACTGAGAATAAAATGGATTTAGATTTCATATTTACAACTAAATTGAAAAAACTAATTCTCAAACTAAGTTGAATGAAAACATTATTTCAATCGCTGGCAAAAAGGTTTCATAAATCGCTATTGAGGTGCAAAGTCACCCATTAAAAACACATACGCAAAAACACAGAAAGGAGACACTTAAAAAGAAACTGAACACAACAAAAAAAAAAAATGAAGAAGAACAGCGGATCCATATTATGCTCAATTGTCATTTCTCAAATATTTCCAAACAGGGAACAAGACGAAAAGGCAGATTCAGGGACCCTTGGATTTGACTCCAAGGACGGACATGAGAAAACGAAGGTGGCCACGTATTTCAAGGGAATTGCAGGAAGTGCTGAGCAGAGAGGGTGGCTCAACTCCGGCGAGAATATACAGCCTCTTTAATTCTTCCATGCACGACGCTTGAGGTGTCCCTTCGTATCCCACTATCACTCGGATGGCATTGATCTCTCTCCACAGCCTCTCCTCATTCGCCGTGACCTGCAGTTTCAACGTCCTCATTCCCTCGCTGTGAAATTTCCAACATCGGTATTTTTCCAAACCTAAAAAAAGAAAAACCACCTCACCTTATTAATACTAGGAGGACTCATAATGTGAGTAGCCGAGGAATATTCAGATCGGACATCCGCAACAGCAGTCACCGCCGGATTGGAAGATTCTGCACAATAATTAATCTCAGATGGATGTAATTGCTAGCGCACTGATTAAACACAGTGCAGGGAAATTACCTTGAGTTTCATCAGCAGTCACTGCACTTGGAACTGGCTTGTGTGAGTCCATGACATCACTGTCATCGATTTGTTTAATATGCTCGCTTTCCTTTTTTCCATCTCCAATTGCAGGGGATGCCTCCTCTTCTCCTCCATCTTCGTTCTCTCCCATTTCAATACCAACACACTCTTTCTGGCCTCGAGCGAGATAAGAAGGTGTAGCAGGCATCGGGAGCAATTTACTCATCAGCTTGCGCGTGCAGGCATGGCTTGCCAAAAAGAGGCCAAAAGGGATGGAAACGGAGATCCCAATTACCGAAGCAACCACGAGAGGCGGAACAACCACCGGGGCAGAAGATGCCAGTAACCCAGCCAGCAGGATCTGCTTCCCCATTCTCACTCCTTTGCTCAACACCCAACGCCGCCCCTTTTCCTCTGCTTCTTCCATCCTATACACTTATCCACTCCTAATCGTACTTACTATCCATTTTCCAGCCACCCATAATCCTGACACCTCTCGATCGAATTTTACCCTGGTTTCAATAATTAATGACTGACTAGTTGCGAGGAGCAAGGTACATTTACCTGTTTCGCACAACAAATAAGATCATCCATGCTCGCTTCCCTGCCTCGTCTCAGACCCAAGTACCCCGCCGCGAAGCTCGAGAACCATCTGGATCAGATCCTCGGCATCGTATGGGGGGACCGTGGGAGGGAGGGATCCGGGCATCTCTGGGTCATGTGACACGCGTTTGAAACGAAACGGTGACACCTTCTGTTTATGCCAGACTGAACTCCACGTGGCCTTTTCTGCATGCAGCATTGCATTAATGCACAATTTTTAAATAGCTTTAATTGCTATCTGTAAATGTTAAACAAAACAGTCACAATTTACTCAAATATCCATGCACAATTTTTAAATAGCTTCAATTCCTAACTGCAAATATTAATATCGTCAAACAGTCACAATTTTAGATTTTAAAACAAAAATCATAGCCCATAAAGTGGAGCCATATGGGCTGGACCACCTTTTTTCAGTAGGGGCGGGCTCCCTCAGCTTTGGCAGATGGGAGTGGGATACTGTGCGGGGACAATGGGCTAATGCGCCAGTGGATGTCCATACCTTCACTCGGGAATTAAACTCAGATAAACCCAACCCTGCTGCTCAAAAAAAAAAAAATCCTCAGATAAACCCAACCCATAGCTCAGGCCAAGAGCTAGGCCGTAATTGGCTAGCTCAGGACATTGCCATTCATTCCATGCCTTCTATTGTGAGAGTTTCTATCGGACAACTGTGGTTCATATCAGCATGAGGATCGTTCGGAAAGATGTCGTGGCCGACGGACCCGGCAGCGTTAAGGTGTAATTCCTCACCAAACCAAACTTCTTTCAGATTTCCTTTTTGACTCAACGCGAGTTAGACTTCCTCTTCTTTCTCTGTAGTTTCTTACCTCTTCCCCCATGATTCATTCTCCTCTGTCTCGGGTATAAGCTTGTGCGAAGTATAACTTGCCGTTTTATTCATTTGGGTTCTTATCTGATTTTGAATTTCATCTGTAGATGGTACCGATTGATTCGGATGATCTATGGTTTGCGTATAACCTGATCGCTCCCGGCGACTCTGTCATGGCTGTTACTGTGAGGTACTTCTTTATCCTTTATTTTATCTGTATCCCTTAAAAGAACGATGTTGTAACTTGGAAGGAACTCCTGTTGTAATGGTAATCGAATTTGAATATCGTGGATCATTTTCAGCTAGTTGAGCTTCCACTTGCCATCTTTGAATTGGTTTTACGACTGATTACAACTAGTTATTGGATAGTTATAACACTGAAATTGAAATCTATAGTTTGAAACATGGTAGTCGGTGTTGTATGCTCAATTTCATAATCTTTCGTGACTGTGATAGGAAGGTTCTTAGAGAAATGGCTTCTGGTGGACGAGAAGCAGAACGTATGAAGCTGAAATTGGAAATTAAAGTTGAGGAGGTAAAAGACACGTAATTGAGTTCTGTTCAAGATACATTGAAGTTCCTTGTGTCTGACGTTTTTCTTTGTTTTCAGTTGGCAGATTATGACAAAGAAGGGTCAATCTTGCGTGTACGTGGAAAGAACATTATGGAGAACGAACATGTTAAGGTAATGCCGTCCCAAATTTATGAACTGCATGTAGAAACGCAGGCTCAGCCACCAGTGATAAATATAACCTTTCATCTTTATATCTACAGATAGGGGCATTCCATACTTTAGAACTTGAGCTGCAACGGCCCTTTGTGCTCAGGAAGGTGTGGTTCATTTTATTTCTCTCAAGAATATAAGGTTACATCTGGTTTATTTCATGCTAGTTGTGTCTTGCATGTTTAGATGTCTGGCTTGTTTGGCCATATCATTAAGGTGTTCTACTTCAAACATTGAGGGAATGGGTAGCGGAAATGCTTAAAGTTTCACTTTGTCATTCGTAGGATGTTTGGGATTCTTTGGCTCTGGATATGCTGCAACAGGCCTCTGGTATGTTATCAATTTTTTTTTCTTCTGTTTTTACTACCTTCTCATATTTGGGAATATACATTTAAAATTATTCTTTGGAGCTTGTGTAATTTATGTATACGATACTTGTAATTTTGAATATATTTCAGTATTAATGCAAAGTTCAGATTCTGTCCTGAAATTAAACCAGACATATGGTGTAAAAGTAAAATGCAGAATTACATTCTTTTGTGGTATCTTACGTTTGTGCTTGCACCCATTTAAGTGGGCAAATAAAGGCAAATGGTGGAAAAAAGTTCAATAGAGCTCCCTATATGTTCAAATTCAAATCCATTTAAAGTCAAAAGGCAGGTTATGTCATACAGCTAATTTTGTCAGTTTGGAGCAATAAGTTTTCATGTACATCAGTAATCAATACGGTGAATAAAAATTTCATTCCAATTTTGCAGATCCTGGTGCAAGTGCTGATCTAGCTGTGGTTTTGATGCAAGAAGGACTAGCGCATATCCTCCTTGTTGGTAGAAGGTACTAGTAACTTTCAACTGAATAGGATTAATTTATCCAATCCCTATATCTTCCCCCTTTGTTGTAGTCCAATGAATCAAATATAAGTTTATGCGAGACATGAACAAGTTGATAATAAAGGCCAGTCTTTGACTCTGTCTCAACTGCAATTTTGGACTGCGTGGTCTATAATTTGATGAGGAGAGGATTTGCCAGTTACAGACTTGAGAACATTTTCCAACAAATTAATTCAAGTTATTTTCTTTCAAGTAACAGTAGTTTTTGAGGGTTCTCTGGATACTTTGTGTCTGTCTCTGAAAGAAGGTATTTAAGATTTATAAAAATGTTGATGGATGCTGTGTGAGGCTTGTAGGTGTCTATTTGGGTTCTGTGGAACTGGAAGCATTGGGAATTAATTGCTTTTGTTGAAACTGTGAACCATTTCTTACATCTAATTTTGCCATTTTATTAAATTACTCATCTTAGTATGACTGACTTGACAGTATGACTGTTAGTCGATCACGGATTGAAACTCCAATTCCTCGTAAGCATGGACCTGCTATTGCTGGTTATGAGTCAGTATGTTCTCTCACTGTCTTTCCTTGATAATCTGTTTGCGTTACTGCAAGTCATATCAGTGAATAAATTCAATAATCTCAATATCATGTTATGATTGTAAAGCATCTTCCTGCCATCTGCAGGCTTTGAATAAGTTCTTTGATAAAGTTTTGCATGTAAGTTCTATCTGAGGACTTGAGTGCAATATTTTTTGTTTGTAAAATTTAGTTGTGCCTTCTCAAGTTTATTGGTTACTATAATTGGTTTCAGGCTTTCTTGAAACATGTTGATTTCAGTGTGGTTCGCTGTGCTGTAATTGCAAGTCCTGGATTCACAAAGGTCTATAATCATTCTTGATTTTAGGCTTTTAGCTTCCTTCTTTAGCCATAGCATCGATTTTTTTATTTTTTTTATTTTAACTAATGATTGCAATCTCAATCTTAAATGACTTCGCAGTAAATAACAGCTAAGACTGGATATTGGTTCTATATTATGCCTATGTTATATGTCTCTGTTTCAGGATCAGTTTCATCGTCACTTGTTATTAGAAGCAGAAAGAAAACAGTTGCGACCTATTATTGAGAACAAGTCACGTATCATTCTTGTGCATGCAAGCTCTGGATACAAGTATGATTGGTTTTTTAAATTGCATCATCTTTTCATTATTCCGAGTACAAGATGTTGGGAAGTAACCTCTATAAAGTAAAAAATATGAAAATGATCATGGCCATACAGATGCAGCTTATAGTAGAGGTTCCTTAACAACTCTTAATTTTTATGCTGATAATATGTCCTTCTCAACACTTGATCATACGTAAGCATAAATCAAATTTCATATTCTTGAAGCTATCATAAGATACTAATTCTTTGTATTTTCTCACATAACTTAATGGCTGATGATGTGGTAGCTAGAGGAAGGCAGTTTCTATTTTATTAAATGAATGCCTAGGAGGGATGAATAGGGTAGCTATGACAGACTGTTGGAGTTGAGGAGCTATGACAACGTGACTTTATGGTGAAACATGACATAAATCAACATACGCTACGTTGTCAAGGCACTATGATAATCTGGTTCTGATTGTCGATTACATACATGTCTATCATTTTGCATGAGGAAAAGAAAAATAGTATTGAACATCATTTTGAGGGTTTACTTTTTTGTTTAATTGCTTGTAAGTTCTCTGTAATTCAGCTGATATCTTTGACTAACATTAGACCTGATCCTTTTTAGGCATAGCCTGAGAGAGGTTTTGGATGCTCCAAATGTCATGAGTATGATAAAAGATACAAAAGCAGCTCTAGAGGTATCATAGAAACTAAATTATTAATGATATTGCATTTTCTTACTTTGTCTCCTCTAGCCTTCTTAGCAGTGTGCTAATCTGTGAATTATCTTCCCTTGAACCTGGGAACAAGTTTCACTTCCTTTTTTTTTTTTTTTGTACTTTTTCCAGGTTCGAATTTTGAAGGATTTCTACAACATGCTTTCAAATGTCAGGTTCTATTTTTGAGATGCTTTTATTTGCCTTGTCTATGTGTGGTTGAAATGTTAATTCCCCTGTTTCAAAAACTGGTGGTCAATGGGTTGAAGATTAGTACATCATTAAGTATTGATAGAGTGGAAAACGTTTTATCAATAGGACATTTCTGTGCTTTTATAGTTTTTTTTTTTTTTGGCTTAATAATCATCATATGCATGGATGAAGAATAACTATCCCTTGATCAATTGTGTGATGACTTCTGTAGTGATTATCAGATAAATGCTTCCTTGAAGCTTCTGGACACAAGTATATTTAAATTGTAGCGTACTTTTCCGTTGTGTTCTTCTTCAGTTGGTGTTAGTTGTGTGTTCCTTTAATTATACAGTGTCTTTTCTAGCTACGAAACTGTTACGAGTTAATTTTTTCTTCCTTTGAAAATTATTCAAGTATTTTGTAACTATACTGAGGTGAGAAGTGATGAATATGCAAGGGGTTGGCCAGGATCCTTCCTTTTGGATTTGACGCTTAATACCATATACATGGGGAATGGCTCTCCAAGCAATTATGTATTCTTTGCATTTTGGATTTTGCGATTTCAGACGCCTAGGAAATACTAATTGAAGATTTTTTTGGGGTTGGGCAGGATCCATCCCGTGCTTGTTATGGATTAAAGCATGTTGAGGTTGCCATTGAACGTCTAGCTGTGCAAACACTTCTCATTACAGATGATCTTTTCAGGTTTGTATCTAAGTCCTCTGGAATTGAGTAGAAAAACGGGGAGCTTGTTTGTGCTATCTTATTCATGTCCATTTGTTGTATCCTGCAATTTTGTTAAATTCTGTCATATAACTCATCTCTCTCCATCCTGCTTGAAAATGGTTTCAATTAAAGCGTCTAACTTACATCCCTTTAACTAGAAAGGAGAAGGAAGCCTGGGGACATCTTTATCTCAGGAATTTAAAGCACACATTTCGACCTTTTCTTCTAACTGAATGTCAAGTACGGGGATGTACTAATGCTTTTCCTAGGGAAAGTGTTGGAGCGGCTGCTGTTTCAGTTTGGTTCAGTAGTATGTAAAGTGTGCTTTATTGCAGTCTTCTGAATTATCTTCTTGCAAATTTATCGTTAATTACTGATTTAGATAATTAACTGTCACAGCAATGGCTTTAGAAACTTGTCACACAACATTTTCAGATTTCTTACGTTTTCTTTGGTTTTTCAAGTTTGTTTCTGAATTTCATGCCTGCACCTGCTTTTGCCCCCGCTTTTTCCTGATAAGGTAGATGTTTCCTGATAGCTGAAGACTTTATAATTAACATCATGTCTGATTGCTTGAAATGCCATCCAAATATAAGTTGTGGCGTATAATTGAGTTCTAATCAATCTCCATTCCTTGGATGATAGGAATTCAGATATAATGAGGAGGCAACAGTATGTTAAGCTGGTCAACTCAGTTAAGGATTCAGGAGGATCTGTCCATGTATTCTCGTCCATGCATGTCTCTGGAGAGCGTGAGTGTTATTATCTTATTCTTATTTTCCTTCCTTTTTTTTTTTTTAAATTTTGAATCTTTTTTCCTCCCTTTTTTCTTTGGTGTTGAGGATCTGATATTCATTACTGAACCACCAAGGTAAACAAACATGGATTTAGATTCCTTGCTTTGTTTTTTTTTTGGTTGTTGTTGTTGTTGTTGTTGTTGTGTGCATTGCTCAAGTGTGACCTATTAAGAAAATAAATCTGCTATAACTAAATGGATAAATATCATAAGAGTGTTACTTCTATAACTGCCTTTGAGCGTCATCACATAAAGGGACCTATATTCAAACAAAGGTACTAGGACCGTGAGCTTTTTCTTCAGTTTTGGTAGAAAGATTGAAATTAGAGAAGCTTTGGTGGAAAGATTGAAATTATCATTCTTTTTAAAATTTGTCAATTTTGTATTGATGGACAGAGCTAGCACAAATAAGCGGCGTTGCAGCGATTCTTCGTTTTCCTCTCCCGGATCTTGAAGATATTGAGATGTGATAGGCTCGTATTTGCTTTTACTGATTTATATGCTATTCTTAAATTTAACTGATGCTGCAACAGTCTTTCTGGTTAGCTTGCTAGCTTCCGTGCCTGACTTGGACTAGTGACTTTTATTACCATGCCAGGCAATGGAAGTTGACAGTTACAAGTTGCAACCACCCTACCACCAATCATGTACTCCCTTTTCTTCTTTTTTTGTTGGTAAGGATGTACTCCCTTTTCTGTAGTATAAGTATTTTTTTATTAAATAATATAAGTATTTCTTAGGAAGTTAAATAAATTAATTAATTATGAAAATGACTTTTTTTAATACTGTTATTTATCATTAAATTATTCATGAATTTATAAATTGGATGAATTAATTTAGGAAAAAATAATAAAAATGAGAGACAAAATGAATTGAAATATTATATCTAAAGTCAAACCGAACTACTAATTAATTATTCTGTTTTTCTTTTTTCCTCTTAATCCTTAATATATAAGAAAACGAAAGCATTCTCTCTATTTTCCCCCTCCATTTGCTGTAGTTTATTTTCTCTTATATTCTCTTTCCCACCCAATTAAAGCGTTAATGTGTATTCCATTTTTAAAAAAAAGCATTAATGTGTACTTTAATAATGGGTCAATTATGTCCTTCCTTTCGTTGAATTGAATATTTGGTGATGGGCTAAGTAATAGCCGTTTTTAATCCAATGTGTGTGATAAAATAAAGAATCAGATCACCTTTAAGTAAATGTCGAATGAAACTGAAAGTGAGCAAGAGGGAGACGTATTTCTGTAATTTTTTTTTATTTCAGTTAAAAACCACTTAACATAATCTTCTCCTGTTGACAAAAATGAGAGGTGCTTCTGTTCAATTGCCCAACATTCTTTGAAATCTGATAGACAATAATGGTAAGAATAATTACAAAAAGGAGAATGATGCTTTGGGATCAGATGGGAAGGACAATGGCGCTAATATAGTCTGAAAAGTTGTTAAAAAAATGAGGTGGGCAATTGATTTTTTATAATTTTAAAGCCTTGGAATATAATTATTCTTATTATTTTGTGCCAAAGTGGAGTTATTCAAATTGATATCTATATGTCCATCAAAAGATGCCAATATTCAACTTGTCATATGCTTTTCCCTATGATGGCCAAAAAAGTGTACTTTTCCCTAGACTACTCAACTCGCCAAGACCGGTCCGCAATCAATATGAGCTGCGTCGGGAAGGTGCGATCACAATCGTTAAATTAGTCCGCAATAGTGGAGTTTTCAATTTGCAATCAGTTCGTGAAGAGAGCTTTCGAGATGATTTTGGGAGAACAGAGTATGGATTTTCCCAAAGGACGGCCATGGAAGATGGTGGAGTCCCTCATTTTCGCACCCGATACCTTTGTTAAAAGCCCCTTTTAAATCTTCTCTAAATACTGTTAACGATGCTTTGTTAAATTTCTAACTCATTACGTTTCTTTATATATACATATATGAAATTTTTAAAAAAAATAAAAGATTATTGAATAAATAAGCTTAAATAAATATGTTTCAAAATTTTAAAATTATAAGATTGATCAATTTTATAATGTGATAAAAAATTTTCAAAAACACATTAAACTTTTTTGTTAAATAATACTATTATTTATATTGAGAAGGGGTGTTTTTGACCCAAAAAAAGTGATTTAATGATCATTTGATTATCGGATGAATAAGAGTTTGTGTAGGCTTTACTTATAAAATGAAAGTAGCTCTATTTACTGGCTAATTGTGTTCAAAGGGGTGTTTGGTTGAATAAAAAGGTATTTTTACAAAGTGTTTTTACAGACAAAATTCTTTTCATATGTTTATGTTTACTTCGTATCTCGTAAAATCATTTTTAAAATTATAATTTGGTTTTGATCCAAATACTACCAAAGTCACATTCCATTTTATCTCTTGTGCACCCTTATTTACTTATAATTTTTATAGTTAACAATGATTATGTACTAATAAACGACAAAAATTTGCCAGTGTGTGGAAAGCAAATGTTTTTATTTGACCATATTACTGTTGGTCAAACTTTCCGCAATAATATAATTAACCGAATGACAAATTCTACTCGGAGACCCTAAGTTTCCCTGTTTAGAAATATAATTATTAGAGGAAAACTAATTTTAACCAGTAGAAAGAAGGAGAAAGTCAAGATAACTCAAAACCGACAAGAACTCCAAAAGCTTGCAAAATAATCCATAGAAATAGAGAAGGCAGCAATTTTGCTGCGGAGCCGTTGAAAGTGAGCACATAAACGGAGGTGCCAGGTCGTACATGCTGTGGTCGAGTTCGAGAGAAAAGAAGAGAGTATATGGCAGGAGGGGTCTTCGTGAATGGTCCCGCGAGACATTACGAGGGAAGGGTCACCGCCTTTGTAATGGTGACTTGTATAGTGGCTGCCATGGGAGGTCTCATATTTGGTTACGACCTCGGAATATCCGGTATGTATATAAGTATGTGCATCGGTATGTGAGAAACAAATTAATCAAATAATTAATTCGCGTGTTACATATACCTATGTGTACATACACACGCACTGGGTGCAGGAGGAGTTACTTCAATGGATGTTTTTCTGGAGAAGTTCTTCCCCGCAGTGTACAGAAGAGAACACAGGACAGCGGAAGGAGCAGAAAATATGTACTGCAGATTCGACAGTCAGCTGCTGACCTTGTTCACGTCTTCGCTATACCTGGCCGCACTGGTATCATCGTTCTTCGCCTCGGCAGTAACGAGGGCATTCGGAAGAAAAATGTCCATGTTCATCGGAGGTGTCGTCTTCCTTGTGGGTGCTATCATCAACGGTTTTGCAGTCAACATCGCAATGCTTATTATCGGCCGAATCCTGCTGGGAGTAGGGGTTGGATTTGCTAACCAGGTAGGTAATGTGCGTGCGTGCGTGCGTAATAGTTACGTTGATAATAAATCATCAAGCAAAGTGCTCAATGACACACACACACACACACACGCACGCAGTCAGTTCCGGTATATTTATCAGAAATGGCGCCGCCAAAGATAAGAGGAGCTCTGAACATGGGCTTCCAAATAGCCATCACCGTTGGCATTTTGGTTGCGAATTTGGTGAACTATGGGACTAACAAAATAAAAGGAGGGCTTGGGTGGAGGCTATCGCTAGGGCTCGCTGCCGTACCTGCATTGCTCATGACTGTTGGCTCCGTGGTGTTGCCAGACACTCCAAACTCCATTCTGGAGAGAGGGAAGCTTGAAGAGGCAAAGAAAATGCTGATCAAGGTGCGAGGAGTGGACAACGTAGACGAAGAGTTACAGGATCTGATCGAAGCGTGCGAGGCGGCTAAGAAGGTAGAGAACCCGTGGAAGAACATCACCATGAGCCAGTATCGGCCTCAACTCACGTTCTGCTTCTTCATCCCCTTCTTCCAGCAGATGACGGGCATTAACATCATCATGTTTTACGCTCCCGTGCTCTTCAAGACTCTGGGCTTTGGGGACGACGCATCGCTCATGTCGTCTGTCATCACCGGCGTCGTCAATGTGTGCGCCACATTCGTATCGGTCTTCACGGTGGACAGGGTTGGGAGGAGGTGGTTGTTCCTAGAAGGCGGAATCCAGATGATAGTGTGCATGTGCGGGGCGGCGGTGCTGATGGCCGTCAAGTACGGCGTTACAGGGCAAGGTTCCATGAGTAAGGCGGAGGCGGACGTGTTCCTATTTTTTATCTGCGCTTTTGTGGCGGGCTACGCCTGGTCTTGGGGCCCCCTGGGCTGGTTGGTGCCCGCGGAGGTGTGCTCGCTGGACGTCAGATCCGCTGGGCAAGCCATCAACGTGTCCGTCAACATGATCTTCACTTTCATCATTGCTCAGGCCTTCCTCACCATGCTCTGCCACATGAAGTTCGGTCTCTTCTTCTTCTTCGCCGGCTTCATCGCCATCATGACCGTCTTCATCCACTTGCTTCTCCCCGAGACCAAGGGCGTCCCTATCGAAGAGATGAACCTTGTCTGGAAGTCTCATTGGCTCTGGTCCAACTACATTCCTGATCATCATCTTCCTCCTCCCACTCCCACCCAACGCCCCACTTATTCTTATTCTGACCGATCCCTTTAGTTCCCAACTCATTCTTTCCATTTCCTTCAATTTTTGTCGCTTAGTTGATAATAATAAATAATATTACCCAATTATTTTACGTCTTTTTCTCATATATTCTTCCCTCAACTACATCTCATATTTTAACAAGCCTCATTTAGGAAAAAGAATTAATCAACGCACTCATTTCTAAATAAATTCTTTTTATATTTAACAAGCTAAGTATAGAAATATACGAGATGGACTGACTAATTTTTCTCCCAGTGCTTCTGAATAGTCGTAGTAGTGAGCTTTAACTTGTCACAGTCAATAGTAGTGATATGTGGCTATATCAATCGCATTCAGCTTCTCTCCTTTGCTTTTATCCTCCGCTGCCTGCCGCTGCCCCAGTACGACTTCGTGCGCAGTGCAAAACGGTGCCAAATGACTGAGTGGGAGAGGAGGCACTGAGTTGCTAAAAAAGCTAGCAAGACTAATAATAAATTAATATGAGTAATTCCTCCTCATGCATTTTAATATACAACCACAAAAATTTGTCTTTCATTTAATAAATAAAATCACAGCAAATAAAAAATAAATTGAGTAAAGTAATTGTGATAAGTAACATTCAACATTTTCAAGTATTTTTTCAGTAACACTCAATATTCTAAAATAATTATTTATGCATTGAACTACCTAAAATATTTTTTCACTAATAGTCTGTATCCTAAAATAATTTTTTATAACATCCAATACCCTAGAATATATTTCTAGGAGCGCATATATCCTAAGTTTAGTGCGTTCAGTAGAGAAAATATTTTAGGAGGTTTCATTTAGTACCTTAAATTTTTTTTTAGTGGTGCTCAGTATATTAAAATAAGTTTTGGTACATTTAATATCTTAAAGTAATTTTTAATACAATTTTAGTAACAATGAGCACACTAAACTTAATTTAGGATACATGTGCTCCTAAAAATATATTTGAGAGTATTGAATGTCATAAAAAATTATTTTGAGATGAAAATATACTTTAGGTTGTTAAATGCATAAATAATTATCTTAGAACATTGCGTGTTACTGAAAAAATACTTTAAGATGTTAAATGATACTTATAGCAATTATTTTACTCATTTATTTTTTATTTGCTGTGATTTTATTTTTTATATGAAAGACAAATTTCTTGTGATTGTATATTAAAATGAATATGAGGAGGAATCACTTATATTAACTTATTATTAATATTACTAGCTTTTTTTGTAACTCAGCGCCTCCTCTCCCCTTCAGTCATTTGGCACCCTTTTGCCCTGCGCACGATGTCGCAGGCAGCGGAGGGAAAAAGCAAAGGAGAGAGGCTGAATTCGTACCAAGAACATGTATAATGTGAATTTGTCGATTCGAGGACTCGTTCGCCACACAACATTACCGCATTAAGTGAGTTCTTTTTAGCTGTAGATATAATTAACGGTGATGGTTAGGAAGGAAAAGAGGAGAGATTCCGTGCCCAAATTGAAGTTATTAAAACGAAGGGAAAAGAGAAACACCAGAAAATCGTACGAGTACCTCGTTCAAATGATTTTCCTGCCACAAGACTATTTTACACGCATATCCAGTATAGCAATCACACGTAAATATACCTGCTCACTGCATGAAATACAATTTGGTTGATGAGAACAGCCAGTAATTAACCTATAATGAAAAATGGAACTAATTACATTACACAAAAAATTGACATATAGCAAGCATAATATCTCGTCTTGAAACAGGATCTGCCACCCGAATTCCCCCTCGGAACAAAAAGGATAACATATCAAAGAATAATATTACAAATCCGTTATGTCAATTATGCATGTACCAATGTAATTGATATATCATCAGCACATAGGATCTTGTAATTTAATATTAATACCAGCCACCAGAAGAAGTAGAGCCACATCCACATAATCTTCACTCGTTCCTTTTCGCTGGCGACTTGTTTTACACCCCTGATGATGTCCGGTTTATCCTCTGAGCACCTAACTTTGGAGCGCTGGGTTTAACTCCCCGACCTCTGCTAGCTGATAAGGGCTTCGCTTTAGTAGTGGGTGCTGGTGCAGCAATGGCAGCCCAGGGATCATCATCATCAGTAGCAACTGATTTGACGCCTGAAGAATTTGATGTTCTTGGAGCAGGCGCTGCAATGGAACCCCACAAATCATCATCCTCATCCCTGCTCAACTTTGTTGCACTTTTTGGTCGCATACTTGAGGCTAAGTACAAAAGAAAAACTTCAAGTTAAAATAAAAAATATCCAGATGGGTAAAAAATTAAGTGCATGAGAATAGCACCTTTAGCACAAGCTACACACTAGGTAGTTACGCTTTTTGCTTATATTATGGTAAATCAATCAACAATGAAGAAAATATAAAACAATCAAGTACCCTCCTAGCACACGCCAAAACTCAGGTGTATGCTTTGCAAGATGAAATAAGACCAGTCATTCAACGCAAACCTTCAATCCTCATGCTTCAAAAAAATAGTGACATTTGAAGCATAAAAATATTAACTTGGCAATCCCAACCCAAAAAATATAAAATACCATGTTTTGCCTGTGAAACAGGTTGAGAGACTGGCCGCCTTTGAGCTGCTTGAATGTTTGCAAGAGCTGGAGATGGTTTTGCCTCTTCGAGTGGTTCCAAATCATCCCAACCATCCTTGTCATTTTCATGCTCTTCAATTCCATTCTCCAGTTCACCCCAACCATCTGTTGATGTAGGCGATGGGGGGACAGCAATTTCAGCCAAATCAGAGGTGGATCTCACACGGACTGGTGCTGTTGATGGAGTGTCCACAACTAGATTACCGGATTGAAAAAGGGATATCCGGAGGTTAATTTGTATATATGAACCGATAGAACTAAGACATTGAAATGAAAAGGAAATGAAACAAAGCCCCACTGGAACAAAAACATATAAGGTCCAGCCCCGTCCCAAGAGCAAAGGATATTAGGAGGTAAGATCTTCAGGTTGTAGTTTTCTTCATACAACAATCAATATAAAAAAAAAAAAAACCTGCTAAGAACAGTATTGTCTTCCCCCTCTCCCATATTACACCCCCCCAAAAAAAAAAAAAGGTGAAAGCTTTAACATCAGGTAAACAAGATCCTAGATAATATTTGGAAAAAAAAAAGACATTTCAATGAAGAATCTTGCAGGGCATAAAACTATCAATAATGCAAACAAGAGTGATAACCACAATTTTAATTCGGAAGCAGGCCAGAAGGGGACAAGGAGGACAAGAACAGAGGAACATGCATTAATAAATCAAATTTAACAACAAAGAGAATGATCATTAGCCATACCTGAACTGGCATTAGAAGACGTTTGTGCAAGTGTGCTTGTACTCGCGGAAGCAACTGGAGCATGGTCAGAAGGTTTTCCCTTCAGGGTCAAGGAGCTCATAGCCCATCTGCAAGGAGACATATCTTCTTACTCGTAACAATTTCCTTAAAATTACATTTTGTATCTAATTAAAGCACCTTTCCCAGACAGGCAAGCGCCAAAAGCAAGTATCATAGAACAAAATTATACCATGAAGTTTTTACTATCTACTTATAGCTATATACATCCAATATTTAGACAAATTCTTTTGCTGCATTATTTTATCATACATTATTTTAAAATTAGCCTGCAGCACACAGTATCTATAGGAATCAGAATGACGTATCATTCTATCCTCATTGATTAACATGAAAATAGGCAAGAGTGAGTCAATGAGTGAGAACAAGCAGCTGTCAGACCACAAAATTCAGACCGACTTACCCGAGCAAACTAGCATTTCCCGAAGCTGACGAAATTTCCATGCCAACAGCTCCCGTAGTATCTGTTGTATTGGACTATAATATACAACATATAAGAACACAAACATCACAATTAACCAAAATAAGGAGCAGAAACAAATGACAACCATTAAAAACAATCATCCCTAAAACATGGGTTATCTGTGTGACTTGAAACAGACAAACCACACAATTGGGACAATTCTGAGATTTGTGTTCTTTTCGCAATTTTATCTCATTACTCTGAACCTGGTAATGTTCGTCAAAAAACTGATAGTTTCCACGTTTCATTTGGTTTTTGAAACTTCTACAACAATCAAGACCACTGAAACCGTCCAAGCTGAAATACACAGACCATTATTGTATGTGCTAGAAGATCACAATTTTTGTTACTCTAGAACGAGGTGTAGGCCTTAGGAGAGTTACTGTAAAAACTTGAGCACTGATCAGTTGTGTTTTCAGAACATAACAGAGAACAAATAAACAACTTGAATTCTAAAGTTGTAAATTGTAAACTGATCCATACTGCAGATGAAGAAATACGCGCAGCTTAAAGAACCATCAATTATATGCAAGTAAAAGCCCAAAGAATTTTCAAAAGATACCTTATCATAACATTGCTTCACTATATGCAAAAATTGATCAACGGCTTGAAATGCTTTGGACCGAACATCACTGTTTGAACCATGACAATAACATTGAAGCAGAAAATAACATCACTCATTCAAGAAATGAAGAGATAAACACTGCAACAATTAGAATCTTTGCCTAAAGTTAACCCCTCAGTGAAGCCAAAAAGGTAAAAAAAGGTTTGAAATGCTAATATGGCAATCTTTGAAGGGAAAGGGGAGGAAGTAAGCAGCAGTGATTTGGTGATGATATGGGTGCGAGTCAACCAAATAAAAGTGATTGATTTGACAGGCAACTCACTTAACTACTAAACAAAAACCATCAGCTTGAGATTACCTGTCAGGATCAATCGTAAGTACTACAACATTAGGAAGTATCCGGGTTGCAATTTCAGGTATATCATAATAGGAGCTGGTGGCACTTAAAGCCATTATGCCTGAACAAATGAAAATTGAGAAGCTGTGAAAATAATGTCTCCAACAAAGAAGGGGGGGAACAAATAGCAGTCAAACCTGAAATGCCATCTTAACATCAATGAAAAGAAAAGGCATTATGGAGAGCAGAAAAGTAATAGAAAAGTCAAATAAATACCTGCTCC